AAATGGCCCAAAATCAGTACCAGTTTTGATCGGCGATGAGTCTTGTTGTCATTTTTGAGTTCCTTGGGTCCATTTTAGCCGGAATCGACCCTCGGATGATGCCTGGGGGTCAATTTTGGCGGCGTCGACTTTTGGGGGTAGTTTTTAAATACTACCCCCGAAAAACCTACCCCTGCAGCAAAATTCAGATAGGTGCTACGGGCCAAATCGACCATTTGGATGTTAGGAACAAGTGTGCAAAGTGGCTTGCTGGTATCACAATTTGCAGTATCCATCTGATTTCCGGGTTGAGGCCCTAGTACTACTATTCGCGCAGATTCCTCGCGAGACGAGCTTTCAAACCACCTTCTATGTGATAGGGTTCACTACCGAAATGATCCGCCTCTCGAAAACGTCGATAATGTAAACGAAGTTAGCGGTAAATTTGAACCCTATCACATAGTATCTCGTTTGAAAGCTCTGTTCACGAGGAATCTGCATCCACTTCGTGATATTGTCCATCTGAAAGAGAATATTGACCATAAGCCTAAACGTGATCATTTATGATTCCTGATTTATCAGCATAATGTACACTGTTGAGTTTTCAGAATAGCTTCAACAAGACGTTTTTCCCGGGACAGTCCACCAACAACGCGAGTTGGCGAGTTGAAGCGAGCAAGGCACGAGTCGGAGCCAATTATTTCGTTAAAAAAATGTTCCACAAAAATGAACCGCAACCTAGCGCGTACGTAAACTGTTAAGAGAACGACAAAACGGAGGAAATTGTGCCCTTTTTACTTATGTACCTATTTCCGCCCTTAGGGATAGTTGCCAAGATTTGCCGTGGCCGTGCCCATCTCGATAGAAGTACCCATAAAGATTTGACCCAGAAAATGTCCAGTCGCTAGCATAGACAGGATCGACATTAGACCAATTATCGATTACATTTTACAAAAGCCCTTTCTTTGAAATCAGAGGGCGGGCTAATAACATGAAGTGGGTATTGTGAAACCATTGTCGTGTAGACAACTTACGCCACAAGAATTCAGCTTGAGGTGCGTCAGCTTTGGGAGAGCGCCTTGTGCTATGCCGTCCAGCACAGTGCTAGGCACTCGGGCGACAGACAGCGTCAGCTTCTGCAAGTTGGACATGCTGCCCAAAATAACGTGCAGGTCCCGCGGAACGTCCACGTGCACATTCACGAAATCCATGCGACCTGAGCTCCGAAACAGGATGGCGAGCTCACGTACCGCTGTGCAGTTGGACCCCACAATCTGCCAAACAGTAAACAGAAAACTGACAAAGACAATCAATGGGAAGATCGAGGGGTGAATTGCATGACATTTTCATGTACACATTAGTACTGTACACTGTGAACATTTATTGTGAAGTGGCAAAAAATGTCGTGACAAAACATCCATCTCGGTCTATGGAACAAATGCGTTGTCACATGTGTGACAGTGACTCCCTTGTTAAAATGATAATGTCAAATCAGGCGTCTCAATGTATAAAACACATCATTCATCTCTGGACTAATGCTTTCACTGTAAACCCAAGTGTGTTCATCATTGTAACTCTTCCTTGTATTTGCTTGAAAGCCCACAATCTGGCATGGCCTGGCATGGCACTGGCACACACTAGGTGAGTGTGTACTGCACGCACATGCGTGGCCCACACTTGGAAGTGTGGACTCCCGCACAAAAAAGCGGTCTTACTGAAGGCTCAGAAGGATTCATTTTCGAGGCACCATTGAGTCAGCTTTTAGTCAGCTGTGCACGTCCATTGAATCCAGATTTAGTCAGCGATGAGTACCGTTTGATCCAGCCGAGCCCTCCGTGAGACGTTTTCGTCGGCCCCATCGTGGATACACGGAGGATCCGAGAGGCCTACTTTGTCACGAAAAGTAGCCTTTCCTGAGCCACAACTTTGATCCGTGTATCCACGATGGGGCCGACGACAACGTACAGAGGGCTCGGCATTGGATCAAACGGGACTCAACTCTCACAAAATCTGGCTCAATGGTGTCTCTAGAGTGTATGCGTATTAGCCGCCCACCCGCCCACACTGTAAAAAAATCTGTAATTTTACAGGAAATGTTTACATAATTTTTGGGGCAGGTGGTGTCGTTAACTATTTTTACAGCACAGTTGTAAAACGACAACAAATTCCATAAAACCGAGGGGTCTACAACTCGTAGAATCAGAAGTACACGACCCTATTATAACCAAGGGGAAATAGGCTTGAACTTCGGTGTACGTTTTCTTGAACTACGGTGAACTCTAGTGAACTTCGGGAACTTCGGTGAACTTCGCTAAACTTCTACAAATTTTCTCGAACTTCGAACTGATCAAGAGCTATGAAAGCCAAATTCTCGCTCCGTAACCTTTGTAATGCAACCCGTAAATATCTGCTTTGAGTAAGCTGGGGACTCGGTTGTAGAAAGCACTCTAAATCACCAATTTTAGCCTTATAAATGTACTTATTTGTTTTGAACTTCAGTGAATCTTACGATTTATTTTGAACTTCGGGGAAATTCGGCATTTATTTCGAACTTTGGGCAACCTTAGGATTCTATTTTGAACTTCGAGGAACTTCGAAGTTTGATTTTGAACTTCAGTGAACTCCGTGAACTTCGATGGATTCGGTAAACTTCGGTTAATTTCAGTGAACGTCGATCGAATTTAACTATAGTTAATAGCGATAAGTTATAAGCGAACTTCAGTGAACTTCGGCCGAAGTTCATGAACTTCGACTTCGGGTGTACGAATTTCTGGAGCCTATTTCCCCTTGATTATAACTTATAATCACGTCTATGATCCATAATCTTTTATAATCTTTATCTATAATCTATAGTCACTCTATAATCTTATACACTCGTCAAAACATTTAGCAGTCCACTTTTTGACGGATGGATTAAATTATCTCCCCTAGCACCTAGGGAGTCGAGATTTGACATAGACATGCATCTATGTCTGTAGTTTAACATCCTCGAGCACGAATGCCGTGCGACACCCTTCACGCCGTACGCATCCCCTAATGATCACGGGGGTGGAAAAGTCGAAAAAAAAGTGAAAGGTATCGAAAAAATCATAAACTAAAAGCCCCAAAAATGAATTTTGAATGATATTTTTATTTCCATCTTTCCTAACGATAACTCCTTTGGATAAAAATCATTGAAGAAATTTCGTCTGTTTGGCTCTATCTCTAACCGTTTAGGCGCCAGAGGGCGTTTTTCACACGGAAATGACCCAAAAACATTTTTATGTTTTTTCTCAGATAAATTATGGTCTCCGATGCAGAGATTGTCAACGCACGGGCTGGCTGGCAGTCCACTTGCCTGCCCGAAGCACTTTCGATCGGGATTGGCCCGCTCGAAAGCTTTGGAGCGGGCCGAGCTCGAACTCAGCCCGCCAGCACGTTCCCCACCTTGCCCCGCTTAGCTCCCCTCACCTGCAGCGAGCGCTAAGCCGAGGCTGGACCGAGCCCGAAACCTCGGCTCGGGCCAACCGCTTGGTGCTGGCGGCTGGCTGGTGGCGGGTAAGCCAGCCCGACCAGGGGTATGCAACGGCCGGGTGAGCGGCTGAGGCGATGCTCGGCCCGGCCCGGCGGGCCGCCCGAGCGCGCGGGACCTGCACGGCTGGCTTCAGATTGTGATTTTTCCCATTTCGCATCCAGTACACCCAGGCTCTCCTCTTCCTATCAGTACTCTTATTTCTTCCCGGCGAGTCATTATTTCGTATTTTCAAAACAGAGGTTATTGCACAGTTGCGTAGTTAAAGAAATCGTCCGTGTGAGTTATCAAGATTTCAGATCGAGTTGAAACTTACAATGGACTTTCGTTAAAGTAAGACCTTTCGATAGGTATGCGTGTTTTCCCGGTAGGTGAAGTGGTTCTCCTACATTAACTTGACAAAGTCAGCCGAGCAGCCGGTGGGCCGGAGAGCGAGCCGAACTCAGGCCGCTGCGTAGTTTAAGAAATTGTCCGTGTGAGTGATCAAAATTTCAGATCAATTCGACACTTACAATGGACCTTAAGGTGAGGCCTTTCAATACGTATGCGAGTTTCTTCGGTAAGTGGAGTGGTTCTCCCACATTAACTTGACAAATTCAGTTGTGCAGTGGCGCAGACCTAACCTCAAACCGCTCTTTTGCAAATACTACATAATGACGACTTACCGGGATGAAATTCAGGTACCGATAGAAAGAGGAAAGCCTATAGGGTGTACTGGAGGCATTGGTTTGTATTGTTAACCACGAAAAATCGGAGAAATCACAATCTGAAGTCAGCTGCGCGGGTTCCGCGCGCTCGGGCGGGCCGCCGGGCCGGGCCGAGCATCGCCTCAACCGCTCACCCGGCCGTTGCATACCCTGGCCCGACAGCCCGTGCGTTGACGATCTCTGCTCCGATGGGGTACTTCGTCAAAATTAAACCCCAAAGAGCAAATTTGTGACTTTTGGGACCGGAGTCCTATCTGCGACGGTTCCTTTTTGCCCGACTCGGATGTCAGCGCCGCAGGCCTAGGTAGATGTATGCCACTCTGTCAATTCAAATGTGTACATGGTACACATTAAATAAAGTGTACATGGCATGTATGTTTTAAGGTGTACACATGCCTATGTACACATTTATAAAAGTGTACATAGACATGTACACATTAATTAAAGCATACATGCCACGTACACTTTATTTAATGTGTACAAATGTACCATGTACACATGTGAATTGACAGAGAGGCGCGTCGCAACGTGACAGCGTTTCGTGAGATATCGCGAAGCCTGTTACGCGAGACGTGGTCTGGCGTCCATCTACCTAGTTCATTTTTACGCATAGGGTGCCAAATTATGCTTAAAGGTAGCATGCGCTGCTTATAGACGAAGTGCTTTAATTTCGGACAAAATCTAGAAGAAATGGTAAACCCTTCCTATTTTGGCTGTCTTTTGTAATATTTCAAGTCTGAAAACGGAATTGAGGAGATGGGGATCTAAAGTACCATAGTACACCTCCTCCACCTCCTGCCTAGCTAAAACAATAGTCTCCTACTAAAATCTGCGATGAAAATGTAATTTCACTACAATTTAATTTGACTGTCCGCAATTGGAGCACTTTCATAAAGTAGCCCATAAAAAGGAACGGTCTGACTGATGAAAAACTTTAAAACGTCATTTTGTCGGCGAAGGCCTGTAGAGTAATGTGTGAAACGTTTAGCCCTGGGGCAGCTCTAAGGTCCACGAGCCCCGGACCTCCGGGGAGCCTTCTTAAAAACTACGCGATTTCCTTTTCGCAAATTTTATTTTTAAGGTTCAGTAGGCGTGACCGGAAAAGTGGTACCGACACCAACAGGATGTATTATGGTACGGTAGCCCGTGTGGAATACTTTACATTAAATCCGTCTTATTTTCGTCTTTTCGAGGAGTCGAATATAAGACGACCGAAAGACGCCTCGGACAGCGGTTTT